AAACGTAACTGTAAAATTCGTTACCGTTACCAAAAAAATGTAACTTCGTTACCGTTACAGTTACCAAAGAAAAAAAGTAACGCAGTTACTAGTAAAGTTACCAAAAAAGTAACTTGTAACTGTAACTTCGTTACAAGTAACGAGTTACTTCCATTCCCTGGTATAATATAGTTGTAATTTAATAATATGAATTATATGTGTAGAGGTAATATAAATATAAGAAACATTAAGAGGAAAAACAGTAAATATGAGTACAATACGATAATTGATGCGCGAATAAAATACTACAGTTATATAGTTAATTGAAAATAAAAATTTAAATCATTCCCAAGGAGAATAAGAAAATCAAAACAATGTCAATTTAACGTCATATTAGCCGAATTTATGTTATTTTTTGATCATGATAAAAATCTCGATCTCAGATGATCTAAGAATGATTTTATATATCAAGTCATTCTTAGATCATCTGAGATCGAGATTGTTATCGTGACCAAAAAATGACATAAATTCGGCCAATATGATGTTAAATTGATATTATTTTGATTTTCCTGTTCTCCTTTAATAATAATAACTTTGATTTTTTTTGAAGTCATTCTCAGTTTTTACAATTGGCGTTTTACAGTAAGATGTTATTAACATCTGTTAAGAAGATCCTAACGCCTCCTGTTTTACCGATTAAATCATGTAATTTTTGTATAACAAATACTTTTTTCTTCTCTTTCACCGATTCGAAAATCTTTTTCTAGGATTAAAGGATACGCATTACGTGTCTGGAAAGTGGAGTCTATGCCGAGAACGATCAAAAATTTCAAAAAGTTTGTGCATATAAAGAACAAAGTCACGCGATTGTTGCGCACGAGTCAGACGACAACGGCGATCCAGACATTCATCGGGTTTTCCACGAATACAGTCGGGGAGAGGAGACAGAAGACGTACAAACTGCCTAAAATCGAATTGAAAAAATTTAATGGCGACGTGAAGGAGTGGTTACAGTTTTGAAGTCAGTTTAAAAAAATACATGAGGACAGTGATATCGCGAACGAGGATATGTTCCAGTACTTAATCTAAGCAATGGATTAAGGACGTTCTCCGACTGCAGTTGTGCTCAACCTAAAGTTTACTCGCGTCCACGCAATCGCCCCTACACACAGAAAATATTAGTTGACTATCACCG